GTATACGAATTGACATATTTCAACAAACAGATGCTGTCCTGACCACATTCACTAGGTTGTGCCAAGAAATCTGGAGGACAACCTCCTGGCCAATCGACTGGAAGAGATTTGTATTCATTGCTATTAAAAAACTAAAAAAAATGAACTGATAGAGTGTGTAACTAATCAAACAATATCATTAATATTACATGCAAGCAAGATCTTGCTGAAAATTATCCAAAAATAACTGGAACAGCACATGAACAGAGAACTTCCAGAAGTGTTGGCTGGTTATAGAAGAGGCCATGGTACTAGGGATAATATAGCTAATGTTAGATGGACCTTGGCTGAAAGCAGAGAATACTAGAGGAATGTATCTGTGTTTTCTTAACTATGCAAAGGCATTTGACTGTGTCGATCACAACAAACTGGTTAACTCTGAGAAAAATGGGAATCCCAGAGCACTTGATTGTGCTTATGTGGACTAGGAGACAATCACTAAGAATAGAGTAATTAAACACTGCATGGTTCAAAATTGGGAAAGGTGTATGCCAGGGGTGTATCTTATCTCCCTATCTTTTCAATCTATATGCAGAACAGATCATCCAGAAGACTGGGCCCCATAAGGAGTAATGTGGCATCAGGATTGCAGGAAGATTCATTAATAACCTGCATCATGCAGATGACACAACCTTACTTGCCAAAACTGAGGAGGACCTGAGACATTTGCTGCAGAAGGTCAAGACTGTTAAGTCTTCCATATTGAAGTTTAATATACATTGGGAAAATCTGCTGTCAGGGACCTCTCTAGAGTTACTGAAGATCAACAATGTCAGTCTGGAGACTAAGGTGCATCTGATCTAGGCCGTGGTCTTTGCAATTACATGATACCCATTGGAGAGCTGGATAGTGACTAAGGACAACAGAAGAATTGACACCTTTGAGTTGTGGTGCTGAAGAAGAGTGTTGAACATATCATGGACTGCCAAAAAACCAAACAGGTCTGTCTTGAAGAGGGTGAAACCAAATTTCTCCTTGGAGGAAAGGATTTTGAAGCTCCATCTCACATACTTGGGGCATGTGGCCAGGAGGGACCAGTCCTTTGAGAAAGACATCCTTGTTTGGAAAGCTGGAGGGACAGTGCAGGAAAGACTCAGGATGAGATGGATTGACACAATAACTGGGGCAATGTGGCTAGGTGTGTCACAGTCAGTGACACTAGCTTAGGATAGGGCAGGGTTCAGAGTTGTACATAGGTTTGCTAGGAGTTGCTGGATACTCGATGGCACATAGCAACAGCAAATCAATATAAATTTTCAACAATCTTTACAAAAATGAAAAAATAAAATATTGAAAATTAAGTATGAGAGTAATCTGTGACATGAGGGGTTTTATTTCCTCCTCAAATGGCTACCCAATTGTTCTCTTTTAAATAATTCATTCTTTTCCCAGTGATGTGTATCAGAAACTGTGAAATGACACTATTTATTACAACTACACACACACATTTTATCCTTCTTTTAAACAAGGATAGATTTAAAATTTCATCCAATCACATCAGAGGAACCCTTATTCCTATGAGATAGAACAAAAGTTGTGAGGTGTCATTGTGTCCGCTATGACTTCTATTGACTCCATGAATCATGGATCTGAACCCTGCCTGATCCTGTGCCATTCTCACCGTCTCAGCCACACTTCAGCTGGTTGTTATACTTTGTCAATCCATCTCCTTGAAGATCTTTTCCTCTGTTCTGACCCTCAACTTTTTAAGCATGATATCCTTTCCAAGGACTAGCACGTACTGACAACATGCCCAAAGCTTCACCATCTTTTCCTCTGAGGGACACTGTGGATGCATTATCTCCAAGATATATTTGTTTGTTTCCTGGCTGTCCATGGGATTTTTATTACCCTTCTCTAGTACCACAACTCAAAGCCATCAATGTTCTTCTGTCTTCTTTATTTACTGTTCAACTCTTAGGTGCACAGCAAGTAATAGAAAGTACCATAGTTTGCCAAGTATGTTGTGGCTGCTGTTGTTAAGTTTAACTGAGTACAACTCATAGTGAACTTATGAAGAACAGATATGAACATTGTCCTGTCCTGTGCAATTCTTAAAATCCCCTACATTTGACCCTATTGCTGCTGACACTGTATCAATCTATTATCTCACTGAGGGTTTTCCTCTATTTCACTGACCCTCTACCTTTCCAAGCATGATATCCAAGGAATAGCCTCTTTTAACAACACACCCAAATTTTGTGAGACAAAGTTTTGGCATCCTTGCCTTCAACGAACGCTCTATGAACTTAGACTATTCTTCAACACCACAACTCAAAGGCATCATGAATTATTCTTATGTGATCCTAATTCATTGTCCAGTTCTCAGATGGATAGCAAATTAGTGAAAAGACCACAGTCTGAATTAGGTACCCTTAGTCTTTAGACCGACATCATTACTCTTTAGGACTTTGGCAAGGTTCTTGACAGCTAACTTTCCCAATGCTCTATGTATCTTCCTCCCCCCCCCCCAAGAGCCGGTGTCCTGGAGCCTTTGCCTAGGGTGGAGGTCTACGCATAGATGTGGCTTTAAAACCCTACAGAGGGAGGGCATGGGACAGCAGGCTGGGGCCTGGAGCCCTGTTGGTCATGTAAGGGAAATTTTTGGGGTCCTGTTTGATGTGTATTACTCCTCTTTTCCCCCCAAGAGTGAGTGTCCTTGAGCCTTTGCCTAGGGTGGAGGTCTACTCAAAGTTGTGGCTTTAAAACCCCACAGGGGGAGGGATGGGACTGCAGGCCAGGGCCAGGAGCCTCCACTCTGGAAGGAGTCTGTCTGCTTGCTGGCATCTTGATGGCAGCCCTGTGAGTCATGTAAGGGAAGTTTTTGGACAATCAACAACAGCAGCAACATATGTATCTTGATCTTCTGATTGCTGGTACCAGTAGTGCTGATTGTGGATTCAAGCAAGGTGAAATAATTGACAATTTTAATCTTTCCTCCATTTATCATGATGTTGCCTATTGGCCCAGTAGTGGGGAATGTTGTTTTTGTTTTGTTTTATGTAGGGATGTAATCCATATTTAGGGTTATAGTCCTTGATCCTCTACAGCAAGTGCCTCAAATCCTCCTTGCTTTCAGTAAGCAAGGTTGTATCATCTGTGTAGCACAGCTTAAGTCCTCCTCCAATTCTGATGCCATACTCTTATTAAGTGCAACTACTCAAATAATTTGCTTAGCACACAGATTGAATAGGTATGGAGAAAGGATACAGCCCTGATGCACACCTTTTCTGATTTTTTTTAAATAATATTTTTTTCATCATTGAACATTTTTCCTCTCTTCTTCCTCTCCCCTTCCCTCAGCCCACATCTCAATTGACCCTTTGTTCCAGATACCTTTCCTGATTTTAAAGCATGCTTTGTTCCCCTGTTTCTTCTGACAACAGCTTCTGGGTTGAGGTATAGGTTTTGAATAAACACAATTAAGTGTTCTGGAATTCTCATTCTTCTCAATGTGGAGAATGTTTGTTATGATCCACACAAATGCCTAATATTGAATACAACTATTAAGAGATTCAGTATTTTTGTACAAACTCCACAAAAACCCATTTTGGCTTGAGAATGTAAATTTGAAATGAGAATCTGAAAACTAAGTACCTATCACTTTAAAATAAGATTCATGTCTGGAAGATTGAGAATAGTGCCTCAGGGTTCTCTTTCAAAACCCTTCAGAATCTTGGCTGCTCCATGGGCATAAGGGGAAGGACACAGAAGGAATCCTTGGAAGGATTGGGCCGACCTCAGAAAAGCAACTCTGTCCCATGAAGCTCTGCATATGTTACAAACAGATATTAGGTCTCTCTGTAAAATGGCTTCTGATTTCTAAACTAGTGATCTGGATTTTGTACTGTATCACTGGGATTTTAATACCATGGATTAGAAACACCAGCAAGGGAAATACCACAGAAAGGTATCTGTAGTTACTTTGTGGCTATAAAAAAGCAAATTGCTTAATTTCTAATATTACAGTGCAGTTTGTATTGAAATGTAGGGTGTGTTTTTTTTTTCTTCTGACATTCACTTGAACTTTGTGATTTCCTTGTCCCCATTCAACCACAACACCTCTGTGTTCCCAGACCTTTACAAATTTTACTCCAAACCAGCAAGTGAAGGTGGGGGGTTACTAAAAACCACAACTATAATGACACCCTTCAGGCAGGCTCTCGCCTGGCGAGGCAATGATTCACACTCACTACAGAGTCAGAACTGGCCCTTCAGTTGTTTTCCCATGTAGGAGGAGCCATTGGTGGATTCAAGACACTAGAGAGATGCTGTCTTTGGTTAACAGCCCAGCTTTCTATCCTGCAAATCACCTGAGCTCCTCAGTGAGGAAGAGATTAAAATCTGAGTCATACTTGCTATTGTTCTGTGTCTTTGAGTCTCTTGAGACTCATAGCGACCCTTTGTACAATCCCGCTCTATCCTGTGTCAACCTTATTGTTTCTGACACACTCCCATTGCCCCAGTCAGGGAATCAATCCATTTCATCGAGAGTCTTCCTCTCTTGCACTGTCCCTGCACCTTCCCAGGCATAATGTTCCTCTCCAAGAACTGGTCCCTCCTTGACATATCCAAAGTATGTCAGATGAAGCTTCAGCATCCTTGTCTCCAAGGAGCAGCCTGATCTCACCCTCTCTAAGATGAAACTCTTTGTTTTACTAGCCATCCATGATAAAATCAATACTCTTCTCCAGCACCACAGCTCAAAGGTATCTATTCTCCTATTATCACCAGTTATTGTCCAGATTTCTGACGCATTGCAAGTAATTGCAAAGACTATGGCCTGGATCGGTGCACCATAGTCGCCAGACTAACATCGTTGCTCTTCAGAACTTTGGAGAGGTCCTTGACAGCTGACTTTCTCTGTTTAATTCGTCTTTTGAATTTCTGGCTCCTGGTGCCTAAAGTGTTGATTGTGGAGTCAAGCAAACTCAAGCTGTTAACAATCTCAATCTCTTCACCATCTGTCACGATGCCGCCCATGCGCCCAGGGGCAAGTTATACTTAGAGACGGAGACTGCTTCACTTGCTCATTTACTGTTTTCCCCACAAAATACTCATTTGACCTCTCCTCACGCAGGGCATACAATTCTGTATCCTGTTTAATTTCCTATCAGTTATATTTTCAATACTGCGTTCTATTAACTTCACAATCACCCTCATACCTCCTCACTACAGTTTACAAAATTTCAGCGCTAGGTTCTTCCCGACGCGTCTCCCTAACAACCTAAGGCCCACATGTCACCGGAAAACACTATGATCACGTGTTGACACGGCTTCCGGGTTCTTTGCGTGACTTCCGGTTGTCAGAACACCCCAGACGCAGCTGAGAACAAGGAAGGGGGACTGTGTGGCCTGAGGTCGCTGTGGCCCCAGTGGCAGGGGGCCCTGGGCGGTCTTGCCTGCTTCTGCCGTGGCTGCGATGCATCCGCGGCGCCCAGAGGGATTCGATGGCTTGGGTTACCGGGGTAGTTCCCGGGACGAGCAGGGTTTTGGCGGCGGCGGAGGCGGCGGTTTTCCTGCAAGGTCTTTCAGCTATGCATCAGATCTGAGCCACTGGGTGACCACTCCCCCAGACATCCCAGGAAGCCGCAACCTGCACTGGGGCGAGAAGAGCCCACCCTACGGTGCATCCGCTGCCGCCACCCCGTTCGAGGGTCCCCCGGAGGAACCTCTCCCGAGTGCCAGCGGCGGTAACGTGCCGGGGCAGGGCACCGGTGAGGACCAAGGGGCTAGGAGGGAGTGGGCCAGGTGGCTGAGCTGTTGCTCTGAGCCTGCAGTCTGTGTGCAGACCCCGGAAGCCACACGGAGGGTCCCGCCTCTAGTCCCATGCCAGCCTATCGCGGGCCACACCCTCTGCCCTCCTTTCGTCCTCTGCCCCTGAAGCGGGCCTCTTTCCTCTTCACAGAAACATTTTCACCAAGATCACTCTAAAAAGAAAAAGACGTATCTGCTTTAGGCAGCGGTGGCGTGGTCAGGATTGAAAAGAATTATGTTAATTGCATTTAATTGACTATCAGTATCTCATTGACAGCAGTTTATTTGTTGGTTATTTTCCTAGTAGTTATCTGGTCTGGAAAGGCAGGAAGCTTCCCTTCGCAGGTAGGGTTGGGTTCAAACCTGCCTCAGGCCCAGTCTGAGCTGTGCGACCTCTTGAGTGCTCAGTTTCCTTAAATAAGGTAGAAAGATGTGTTTGGGGTTTTTGGTTCTGGGTTTTTTGGTATTAGATGAATTATGTGTTACACAGGAACAGGACGGAACACACAGTAGTCTATAACACTTCTTTTTTAATTAACGCAACTATGTGTAGTTATTGTCTACATTCTCGAACTATGTATTTTCTTCCTGATTTTGTTTCTGACCTAAACTTTCAGAAACATTCAGACGCTAAAACACTGATATAAATTCAAAGTAAGGCCCTGGAGTCACGGGATCTGGTCTCTTGTAGGAGGTTAAAGGCCTCTTATAATTGCCTCTTGTTAATGTAGACATTCTCAACGTTAGTAAAAATTAAAGTAATGGCTATACCTTCCTATTTTCTGGATTGTTACTGTCATTAAATATTAATTTTATTCTAGATCACTTATCATTTGTTTAAATTTGACTATAAAATCTTTTCTATTTGGGTTAATTGGGGTGAAAAAGATTTTAAAGGGTATATGAGAGAGTGAAAGAGGGTCAGTGACTTATCTGGAGTTGTATTACACTGGTGGCAAAAATATGCTTTTATAAATTAAAAATTAAGTCACGATGCATACACAGTTGCTTCACAGTTACTTCATTAGGCTGTAAAGTATATATCTTTTTATAACTTGTGTTTTAATGGTTGAAATGAAGAGGAATGTGTTAATAAAAGTGGGATGTTTTTATTTTCAGCAGCAGTTAAGTGGTTATTGAATGCAACTTTGCTAGGAGGATTGAAGCCTAGAGACTTATTTTGTTAACATTAGTAATCTTATCTACAGCATTCAGAAGATGTCTTTGTGTCATTGTTTCTGTACACTAGAAAAGGGAAAAGCTAGAAAAGAAAGAAAGCCCTCTACCTGGGCAAAGCTGATTTCCATCCCTTGCTTGTATGGTTGTGAAGGAAAGATTAATCGACTAGTTTTCCCCAAGACAAATATACATGACCTTATTGTGAATGTAAGAGAATAGCGGAGACTGTCCATTATTTCAAAGAGCAGAAACTGAATGATCCTTTATGAATGTTACAGTTGAAAATTTAATGTATCATAGTATAAATTTAATGTTAGTCTCCTAGGGCAGTGATATTTTGCATTAAAATTTTAGGATCTTTAGTACAGGAGAAATTTTTTCTCCCCCATTTTGGCCTGTTGGGGAATAGTTCCAGCTATAAACTTTTCCAGTAATACTACAGAAATGCCATCAATAGTGCCATGCATAATCCAATAATTTATTACAGTAACAGAATTCAACAGCTACTCAACAGATTTAAAACCTGGGTGATATTATAGAAGAAAATTGTATTTCTCTTTGTTACCCTAAATACTCTTTTTAAAATTAATAACCTAGAGACGTTTTATTTGCCACTCTTGGTAAAACAGGTGTTCTCCACCAGTAGCAGTGAATAACTCATTAAAATTTTTGGTGTAAACAAGAAGGGTCTTCTATAGAAAAAATTTAAATTGTTTGCAGTCAGAAAGGGAAAGCTGGTAGCTCTTAGGTTCTACCACAGACATGTGACCTATGTGGTATCTTAATGCTTTTTACAGTAGTTGCCTAAATTCAAAACTGGAAGATTTTTATATAAACTAATGTTGATTGCTATTGAGTGGAGCATGACCCATAGTGACTCTATGAACAAAAGACCTGATGCCTTTCTATTAACTATCATTGTTTCTCCAGGTTCATAGAGTTTCCATAGGCATGTGGTTTAGGAAATAGATGCCTCTCCTGCTTCCAGAACTATCTTAAACTGGGAGCTCCACCAAACATTGTCCACCTTGGGCAACCATTATGGCATTTGACACCCCAGTGACGCATGGTTTAGCATCACAGCAAACCCATTTTATCTCAGTACAGCAGATTGACAAAAGAATTATGTATGACTTAGAAGAATGTTCCTGCAAAATATAACAACATGGCTCTGGAAACTCTATGAACTTTAATAGATGTTGATAGTTAGAGAAAGGCTTCAGGCCTTTTGTTCATAGGATCGCTATGAGTTGTGCTTGACTTGAAGGCAGTCTTCAACAACAACAACAGTCTCACTTAGCAATAGTTAATGGCTGTCAAGTTGAATATGACTCATATTGACCCTATGAACAAAAGACCTGAACTCAGTTTCATAACTAACATCATTACTCTATGTTCATAGAGTTTCCAGAGGCATGTGGTTTAGGAAGTGGATGCCACTCCTGCTTCTGAACCTGAATCAGTCTGGAAAGTCCTCCAAACACTGTCCATGATGGATAACCATTATAGTATTTAACACAACTATGGCAGTGTTCAGCATCACATTAATTCCATGTTACTTCAGATAGCTTCTGTACTACTTAAAGAATTTTCATCCCAAAATTTTTTAAAATACCTGTTGTTCTCGTTATGTGACATCGAGTTGCTTTCAACTCACAGTGACCCAAGTACAACAGTCCTAAACCCTGCTCTATCCTGTGTCAATCTTATTGTCTCTGACACCTTACCCCCATTACCCTAGACACTAAATCAGTCCATCTAATTGATGGTCTCCTCTCCTGTGCTGTCCCTCCACACTCCCAAGCATGATGTCCCTCTCTAAGCACTGGTCCCACCTTGCAACATGTCCAAATTATGTCAGACGAAGCTTCAGAATCCTTACCTCCAAGGAGCAGCCTGGTCTCACCGTCTCTAGAACGAACCTGTTTGTTCTCCTAGCAGTCCATAGTATATTCAGTTCTCTTCTCCAGCACCACAGCTCAAAGGTATCAGTTCTCCTTCTGTCATCCCTAGTCATTGTTCAGCTTTCTGACACATGGCAAGTAATTGGAAACCTGATTGCTGAAACTGAGGAGGACCTGAAGCACTTACTGCAGAGGGTCAAGGACTTCAGCCTCCGATATGGATTGAGGCTCAATGTCAAGAAAAAAAGGTTCTCACCACTGGACCAATTGGCAGCATCAGAATGGATGGTGAAGAGGTTGAGATTGTGGAGCCAAGCAAACTCCAAGCAAGCTCCACAGTCAACACTCTCAGAACCAGTAGCCAGGAAATTAAAAGATGTATTGCCATGGGAAAGTCTGCTATTAGGGACCTCTCCAACGTACTGAAGAACAATGGTGTCTCTCTGGAGACTAAGGTGTGTCTGCTACAGGCCATGGTCTTTGCTATCACTTGTTATGCATTAGGGAGTTGAACAGTGACTAAAGAGGATAGAAGAATTGATGCCTTTAAGCTGTGGTGCTGGATAAGAGTATTGAGGGTACCACAGACTGCTAGGAAAACGAACAGATTCATCCTGGAAAGGGTTAAACTGGGTAGCTCCGTGGAGGCAAGGATTCTGAGGCTCCCTCTAACATACTTTGGACATGTTATAAGGAGGGAACGGTCCTTGGAGAGGGACATCATACTTGGTAGGGAGGAGGGACAGTGCAGGAGGGGAAGGCCCTCTGAGGTGGATTGATTCAGTGACTGGGATAATCGGTATGGGTGTGTCAGAGACAGTGCGATTGGCACAGTATAGAGCAGAGTTTAGGGCTGTTGTACATAGGGTCGACTCAAGGCACATAACAACAAAACAACAACGTGGCCTGGATCAGGCACACCTTATTCTCCTGACTGACACCATTGCTCTTCAGTTCTTTGGAGAGGTCTCTGACAGCAGACTTTCCCAATGCAGTGTCCAGCATGCCCAGCAAATGCTATTGACTAAACAAAGTAGACCCTCTGCCCCTGGGGTCATTGTTAGCAAAATCTGACAAAAGTCCAGTCAACTTGTGGAGGAAAAAAACGCAGTAACACAATCAAAAACCTTCCTTATGTGACCCTCATCAAGAGATGAGAAATCATTTTCCAGAGTGGAACCACTCCACAGGACCCTTCATGCCAGCCATATAAACTAATAGGAATATCTTTCAGGAAATCACGCCTTTGGAAACTAAGCCTTACTATCCTACATGTCAGTGACATTGAGCTGAAAGACATTTGTGCCTGAGAAGGCATATACTTTGCAAGTTAGCTCAAACTCCCGACAGTTCAAAGGACCTCACTGGCCCCATTAAGAGTTTTCCTTTGTTACTGGAATTTAAATGTATGCTATCATACAAAAACTGATTTTATGGGTTTTACTGTGAACTTTTATATTAATTGTAAGTAATTCTATTCCTTTTGTTCTAGAACAGTTAAATAGATTTGCTGGATTCGGTATTGGACTTGCAAGGTAATGTTTTATCTGAAAATTTGTTTTATTTAACTCCCCGTCCCCCTTTACTGTAATTTATAATTCTGCTTGTTGTATGTTATCAATGACTAAGTCAGAACCAACTCATAGTTGACCTTCCAGCAAGTTTTCAGAGGCAGTAAATTGCATGGGATTGCCAGTCTTTCTCTCCATGGAGCAGCTGGTGTATCCAAATTGTGTGCTTTTCACTTGGCAGTACAGCTCCTTACAGGGTCATCAGCACTCTCTGTAATTTTTAATGGTAAGTGATCATTTTTGCTTCCTTTAGATTGATTCTTTGGAATAACAGATTAAATATTGAATAAAATCTTTGGAGGCTAGTAAGAGTAAAACATAGTCATTCATTTTTCTTTAAAAGTTTTTTTTTTTTTTAATTACAAAGCTGGCATAATTTTATAATCACAAAGTAACTCCAAGAAATATTTCAACAGCTTTCCTGGGTTTATCAAAGGAATAAAATCAGTTTTCTTACTTAATAAACTATATATCCCACTTGTCCTATAACATTATATGCATTGAGCCTTCATCGTAAACATTTGAGTACTAAGAAGATAGATTTTAGAATACAATTCAGATTTTGCTCACAATCAGCTTTTTATGATTATGTAGATTTTCTTTTCAATTTCTGATAATGATTAACTTTTTTTAAAAATAAAAGGTTTTTAGCCTTCATCATTATGGTCCATTTCAGAAACACCAAAATTGTTCAAGGCCTACATTTCCTTCTAGCATGATTTTCATTTTTAAAACAAAACGTTTAAAATCATGGGGGGGAAAAGTACTATTTGCGTACTTAAGTTTAAGGATAGTAGAAATAAACTTTGCATATTAAAAGTTTTCCTTTGTGCTAAAATTAATTCCTGTCTCTCTCTCTTTTATTTCATCTTTATATTTAGACTTAGGGAGTTCTGGTAGCCTAGTCAGTAATGAAATATGCTGCCAACCCAAAGTTGGTGTTGTTATGTGCTGCCGAGTCACTTGCAACTCAAAGTGGCCCTACGTACAATAGCCCTAAACCCTGCTCTATCCTGTGCCAATCACACTGCCTCTGATACACCCATTCTGATTACCCCAGTCACTGAATCAATCCACCTCATAGAGGGTCTTCCCCTCTTGCGTCGTCCCTTCACCCTCCCAAGCATGATGTCCCTCTCCAAGGACCTGTCTCTCCTTACAACATCTCCAGAGTATGTCAGAGGAAGCCCTGGAATCCTTGCCTCCAAGGAGCAGCCTGGTTTAACCCTCTCCAGCATGAATCTGTTTGTTTTCTTGGCAGTCCATGGTACATTCAATACTCTTCTCCAAAGTTACGTAGTTCAAATCCACCATAAGGAGAAAGATGAGCTTTCTCCTTTCATGTGACTTACAGTCTCTGAAAAGACACTAGAAATTCAGTCATTAGTTGGTTCTGAAATGACAGTGAGGGTTGGTGTGTTTTGTTGGGTTTTTTTTAGTATGGAATTGAGATGTTTGTTCAACATTGTTGTTGTTGATTGCCTTCAAGTTGAGTATGACTCATGGCAAGTTATGAACAAAAGGCCTGAAACCCCTTTACAACTATTGACATTTATCAAAGTTCATTAAGTTTCCAGAGGCATGTTATTTAGGAAGTGGATGCCACTCCTACTTCAACATAAGTATTAAAAATATACACAGGTTGTTGTTGTTGCTGTTGATTGCCATCCAGTAGAGCACGACTCTTAGCAACCCTTTGAACAAAAGAACTGAATGAAGCCTTTCTGGAATTATCATTTCTGAAAGTTCATAGCGTTTCAAGAGTCACGTTGTTTAGAAAGTGGATGCCACTCTTCCAACAAATAAGTATTTATTTAGGATCATAACAAGCAGATTGCTTTGCTTGTAGAACTGTTCTGAAAGAAATGAAAGAGGTATTTAAATGTTCAAGAAAGTAGCTTCCCACATGATGCATATAGAGAGCTGATTTTGTCTTTATATTTTAGTTATTGTTACATTTTTTTCCATTTGATTAAGAGGCTGAAGATCTGGCTTTACTTTGTTTCATATTGGACGTTTTTTAACTGGTGGAATGCTTTTCAAACATACCTAGATTGTTTGGAAAATAACCCCTTTGTTTTTTAACTTTTAAAAATGGAAAACAATAAAGAATGCTTCTTCAGAAAAGAAAAATTTTAATATATGTGTTGTAAATTTCATATATATCTATGTATGTGGGTATACTTATATATGTAATTATTTTTATTTAGTCTCTTTACAGAAAATGTACTGGCCCATCCTTGCATTGTCCTACGGCGCCAGTGTCAGGTAAACATTTTCTATAACATTCTAAAATAATAAACCCTGATTTTTCATAAAGAACTCAAGTAGTATAAGGTTTTGTAACCACTTCTTCCATGAGTAATGTTCCAAAATATGTACTCTTATCAGTTCTAAAGCTTTTAATTATTGAATACCTCCAAGGAACTTTTATTTACATAATGTTGTTACTGACCATCAAGTGGCACCAGATTCATAACTGACCCTCCAGCAAGTTTTTAGAGACTGTAAATTGCATAGAAGAGTGCCCATTTTTCTACCGCAGAGTAGCCGGTGGATTTGTACTGGGTGCCTGTGGGTTAACAGTGTAGCTCCTTAATACTACGCCACCAGAGCTCGCTTTGTTTATGTGATCTATCAAAAAATACAACCTACTGTCATTGAGTCAGTTCCAACTCATAACAGCCTGAGAGGAGAAGGTGGAACTGTCCTCTCCGAGGGTTTCCACGTTTGTAAATATTTGAAGATCAAACTGCTGTATCCTTCTTACCTCTCTGCTTATACATATGTACTTAACCACAGCATCACCAGAAATAATAGTATAGATGTAGATATCTATAGATATAATATCTTATTTATTATTAAAAATAATAACAAGCTAATTAGCTCTTAACATAAATTTAATGGAAAACAATTATATTTTTGCTAGTATTGTTATTTGGAAAAATAACTTCCTGAGTCATGTGGATCTTTCAAATATTTAGGCACTTATGGGGAACTCTGGTAGTCTGTAATAAGTTGCACTCCTAACCCAAATATTTTAGACACTTGATTGTATAATCTCAAAAAAAATCACCTTCATTATGTCACTATCAATCTTTTGAGGAGAGTTACTGTTTTGGTTTTTTTTTTTTTTTGGTGAAGTTCCTGATGATAAATGCAAGTTTTCGAGAATTCTCATTTTTGCTTGAAAACTCAAGTTTATTATTGGCAATAGATACTATCAAATTGTAGGTGGCATTTAATTGACACAACCTCCTTTGGACATTTCTTTTGAGAAAGTATGTTAAGGCTTGTTTCCCAAAGGGAAAATCCCTCATGGCTTATATTTGCAGATAGATTAAAAAACTGACCCAAAGAAGTCGAAAAGATACTAGTTTATTGGGACAGGAAACTTACTGACCCAGGAGGAACATGTAGCACTGTATCATTTCAGTTGTGGAGGGCCATAGTATTGCCACTCAGGATGGAGGAAAGCAGCAAACTATTTTATATCTCTATACCAACAACTCCCAACACAAAATTAAGAATTATCTATACTGATGGGGTATGCTAGCTGTTCCCAAGCTTAGTTTAAGGGAAAACCCGTCACATCACGTGAGATACATCATACACCCGCTTAATGTAGATCTAGTTCTGTAAGCAAAGCTTAAAACAATAAGGGGAATAGTCAGTATGGCGTCATTCTGGGATGAAACTAGAAAAACAAGTCTTCTGAAAGAAACAGTTCTCATAAGGTAGCTTAGCATAAGTGTAGCCTTTTGGGGACATTTATGGGATATACAATGAATCTGTTACCAAGTATCTATCTGCATATAATTATAATTTTTGTAATATAGTCATTGTTTTCCAAGCAAAATTTATATCCTTTGTAAAGAGTAGCTAAATCACCTTGCAAATAAATCTCACAATTCTTTTTCTCATGACAGATAGCTCGTTATTAATTAGAAAATGTATAATCAAGGTCAGTGTTTTGGTATTTTTTTACTGCTTCATCAAGAACTTTCTTAAGAATATGATGGGTTTTTTTATCCCTTAACAGTGAGTAAGATGAAAAAGAAATACTAATAAACTAATTAGTGCTAATGTTTAATGTGTGCTAAGGACTCGGTAATCTTTTCACTCAATGATAAAGGGCTGTTTTTTTTAAATTTTTGTAACATCAATGAAAATACCAACACAATTAAAAAGGCAAATAATTCCTTAGTATTAAAAAAAAAAGAATAATTTTTTTTTCAACTTTTGAATTTCCTAAAAGGAGTCCTCAGGGATTAGTGAACCACACTGTGGCAAGTGGTGTTATAAAAACAGCTTTGCAGGCTCATTTGTTCCCTTTGCTTGTTTGCTATTGGTTTGAAAAAAAGATGATTGGCACCAACAAAGTAGGTATATACAGAGAAATAACCATTTAAATATAAATTTATACTATGATTCCACTATATCTTTTTACAGCCTTGTTATTTCTTGCTAAAACAGAAACCAGTCATGAAATATCTTCTTTCAGGTTAATTATCATGCTCGGAATTATCATCTTACTCCATTTACTGTCATCAATATTATGTACAGCTTTAATAAAACTCAGGTAAGATTGTATTAAAGATCTATTTAATGTATATGTTATTTGGACTTAGTAGTTAAGGGGCTGTTCCTTGGAGAAGGATATAGTGCTCAGAAAGGTAGAAGTTCTGTGAAGGAGGAGAAGACCCTGACCAGGTAGATTGGCACAGTGACTTGTGTAATGGGCTCTAGCGGATCAGCAAGTGTGAGGATGACACAGGATAGGACAGGGTTCAGGTCTGTTGTTCCTAGGGTCACTATGAGTTGACAGCATCTAACAACAACTACAATAGTTAAAGCAAAGATAGTTCCTTTGTTTAACAAAATATCTCAACTCTTAGGCCAAAATTAATGTAACATTAACAATGTCATTTTTTAATCTTCCAAAATGTCATTGGGCTGGTGGACATGCTGATTATGTAGCTGTTTATATGGTGGTTGTTGTTATTGCTGTTGTGTGCCATTGAGCTGCCTGTGACTCATAGTGACCCTATGTGCAACAGCCTAAACCCTGCTCTGTCCTGTGCCAATCTTATTGTCTCTGACACACCTACTCCTATTACCCCAGTCACTGAATCAATTCATCTCATTGAGAGTCTTCCTCTCTTGCACGGTCCCTTCACCTTCCTAAACATGACTTCTGTCCAAAAATGACTGAAACAGTACACCAACAGAGAACTTCTAGAAGTATAAACTGAATTTAGAAGAGATAATGGCACTAGAGGCATTATAGCCAATGTCAGATAGATCTTGGCAGAACGAAGAGAGTACCAGAGGAATGTCTGTCTGTATTTCATTGACTGTGCTAGGTATTTAACTGTGTGGATCACAAAAAATTATGGCTAACTTTGAGGAGAATGGGAATCCCAGAACACTTGATAATGTTCATGCAAAACCTATACTCAGATCAGGAAGCAATCCTCTGAACAGAGCAAGGAAACATTGCATGGTTCATGCAATGGTTCAAAGTCCGGAAAGAAGTGCATCAGGAATGCATCCTTTCTCCATACCTTTTCAGTCTATATGCAGAACAGATCATTTGGGAAGCTGGGCTTTATAAGCAGGAATGTGGCATCAGGACTGGAGGAAGACTTGTCAACAACCTATGTTATGCAGATGACATATCTTGCTTACTGGAAATGTGGAGGACCTGAAGTGCTTGCTGAAGAAGGCCAGAGACTGGCCTTAAATTAGTCTTAAATAAAGATTGAAGCTCAACATCAAGAAGACAAAGATACTCACCACTGGGCCAGTTGGCAGCACCATGATAGATGGAGAAGAGATTGAGGTTGTTACAATTATGTCTTACTCAGCTCCACAATCAGCACTCTTGGCAGCAGCAGTCGGGAAGGTAAAAGATGATTTACACAGGGAAAGATTACTGTCAGGGACGAATCCAGAGTACTGAGAAGCAACAGTGCCAGTCTAGAGACTAAGATACGCCTGAGCCAGTCCATGGTCATCATAATTACCTACTATGCATCAGGGTTCTGGACAATAACTAAGGATGACAGAAGAATTGATGCCTTTGAGTTGTGGTGCTAGAGAAAAGTATATCATGGACTGCAGAGAAAACAAGTAAGTCTGTCTTGTACAGGGTGAAACGATGTTTCTTCTTGGAGGCTAGAATTTTGAAGGTCCATCCAGCATACTTTGGGTAGACTTTAGTGTTGTTATACATAATTAGGGTCACTCTGAGTCCCAGGCAACTTGACGACATGTAACACCACCACCACGTGGACATTATTGACGGGGAAAGTTCCTCTTTATGAGGCAGAAGTCAGTCTTGGCCATCCTAACATTGCACCTGCTCCATACACATGGTTGTTTTTATGTACAGCTTTGAACTCTGCTCTATCTTGAGTCAGCCTCATTGTCTCTGACACACCTACCCCATTACTCCAGTCACTGAGTCAATCCATCTCGTCTGGAGTTTTCCTCTCCTGTGCTGTCCCTTTACCCTTCCAAACATGACGTCACTCTCCAAGGACTGGTCCCTCCTTGCTGCATGCCCAAAATATGTCTGACAAAGCTTCCATCTATTCCTCCATGGAACAGCCCAGTTCTACTCTCTCCAGGACAAAACTTCTCCTAGAAGTTATGGTATATTTAACACTCTTCTCCAGCACCACAACGCAAAGGCATCAATTCTTCTGTCATCCTTAGTCATTGTCCAACTCTCTGCTGCATAGCAAGTAATTGTGAAGTTCATGGCCTGGATCAGGTGCACCTTAGTCTGTAGACTAACATCGTTCCTTCTCAATACTCTGGAGAGCTCCCTGACAGCAGATTTTTCCAACACAGTTTTTTAAATTTCCTGGCTGTTGGTCCCAAGAATGTTGATTGTGGAGGCAAGCAAGCTGAAACTGTTATCAATCTCAATCAGTCTCAATCTATTCACTATCATGAAGTTGCCAATTGGCCCAGTGGTGAGAATCTTTATTTTCTTGATATTGAGCTTCAATCCATATTGACGACTACAGTCCTTGACTTTCTCCAGCAAATACCTCAGGTCCTCCTCACTTTCAGCAAGCAAGGTTGTGTCATCTGCATAATACAGATGAGTTATTGATGAGTCTTCTTAGAGCCCAGCCTACAGGATCATCTGTTTCGCATATAGATTGAAAAGGTATAGAGATAGGATGCATCCCTGGCATACACCTTTCCTGATTTTGAACCATGCGGTGTTTCCTTTCTCTGTTAGATCACAGCAAACTGTGGCTAACTCTGAGAGGAATGGGAGTCCCAGATCACTTGAGCATGCTTATGCAAAACCTATACTTGGACTTTAAACAGTAGGGCTTAGAATAATTCATATAGTAAGCCACCAAATGTTAAAATTTAACAAAACTTTTATCAATTTACAGAGATACTTGTTGTATACATGTGGATTATCTCTGTATTCTAAATAAGAAGCTGCTTCTAGAGAATATAAGGATGGAGATCTTGAGGATAGAGGTAGTAAGGATTACACATAGGGCAGGTTTCTGATTTGTTGTCACAAAGGGGCTATGAGTTGTAATCAGCACCATTGCTAGAGAACTGAGGTGAAGTATACAGATTTTTCATCTGTAACCTTTTTGTTGTTTTGTGGATTTTTAAATTGTGTCATGTGTATTAATGGACAAGGAGCTCTGGTGGTGCTGGGATTAAGCCATTTAGTTCTTTGTGGGAGAAAGGTGAATCAGTCAGCTTTGATAAAGATTTACTGCAGTGAAAACCAGTTCTTCTTTGCCTTTCCGTTCACTCCAATGCTATGGCAGTGGGCTGGGTATGTTATTGGTTTATGGATTAACACTGATGATACTGTGGAAAGGGACAAGCCTGTTCTCATACAGTCAAGTTAATATAAAATTATGGTGTAAGGATTGAAAAGAGGTGAATTGTAAAATATTAAGGCATAGAATTGGTAGAATTTGAGGACTGAGTAGATAACTAAAAGTGAAGGAAAGGCCATATGGATATGTAATTTGGACACATGATGTTGAAGCTATTGTGTAGGAAAATAGGAAACAACAGAAAAGGAAAGAATTGTTGAAGAGTAGGGATGAGGGAGTGTGATAGCATTGGCCATGGGTTGTGTATCATTGGAGATTCCGAGAGGCCTTTTTTCTCTCATTCATTGTTGCACATTTTACTCCCTCCCTCTTCCTTCCCACCCACCACTTTGTAGTGTGTCTTGAGGCATGAGGGTTCAGTGACAAAATCCTCACCTTCATATTAGTAACCCTGTTTTGATTCAGTCAAGTGTAAGTACCACCCATAGTGAGTGAAGTGTTATGTTCCTGAACAGATTTTTAGCCAAATTTCTAGACTAAGACTAGGAAGTAGGATCTGGTGATCTACTTCTGAAAATCTGCTAGCGAGAACACTGTCGATGACTATGCTCCAGACTAATCACGGGGTTAATGTAACACAGGTCAATGTTCTGTTCCATTGGGCATGAGTCAAGACCAATTTTACAACAGCTAAAAGCAACAAATGATCATCCTAATGGGAAGTCTAGTAGGGAATTGAATGTACAAACATAAAGGTCTAAACAAAGCCAGGACTAGAGCCAGAGTTAGTTATTTAATTGGAATGTCCAGTCAACACACTTCAAAGCCATAATATTAGTTGTTGGATTAGGAAATTAGTTGTAGAACTGTTAGCACAGCTGTTGTATACTGTTAAGAAGTAGCTATAAAATTAAATATTCAATTTTGTGAATACATTTCTGTGTTTTATGTTTAAGAATTATCGGAAATAACAGTACATTTTATTCACTTTAGGGACCAAGAGCCCTTTGGAAAGGAATGGGAAGTACGTTTATTGTCCAAGGAGTCACACTTGGTGCAGAAGGAATAATCAGTGAATTCACACCTTTGCCAAGGTAAAGTTAACACCCATCTAAGAAGTATCCGAACTATGAAACAGAAAAAATTATGTAGGTAGTTATTTCTGTAGTCGATGGTTGTTGTTATATTCTGTCAAGTCAGAAGCCACCCATAGCTGACCCTCCTGTGGATTTCCTGAGGCAGTAAATCTCATGTGAGGAGACTCCCTGTCCTTCTCCCATGGAGCAGCTGGTGAATTTTAAATGCATGCCTTTGAGATTGCAGTGCAGCTTCTTAACATTAAGTCAGTGTCCTAGAAGCAAAAAATTGGGAAGATTTTTTAATTATAGAAGCATTTGAAGGGAGAAGGTAGATCCTGGGTCTTTTTTCTGTGAAGATGATGCAGGTCTTTTGATGAAAGATGGGAAGTCATTGAGACTGTAATAGAAAAGTATGAGAAAAATAGTATTTGTTTGGAAGAGTGACAACTGTGGATAACAAGAAAAGGAATCTTGAAACTATACGAAAGGAATATTTCCTAGATAAAAATGTTAATAGAAAATACTGAAAATCATAAATAAGCTTAAGTACTTTTTGGCATGACTAAGTGGTTTTTCGCAGCACAGCAACTTCCCAGGCATTTCCTCTAGGTGGAGCAAGGTGGATTGAATATGGATTGCTCTCTTCTGTTTAATCCTTACTCGTAGTTTTTTCCATATCATCACTATGAGGAGTGAGCCCCTTTAGCCAAGTCTACATTTGTAATTAAACCTGAACAGTCATTTTATTGAACTCTTAACATTGTTTTACGGGAGCTGCACTGCAGTCTCGAAGCTTTGTGGTTCAAATCTACCAGCTATGCCATAGGAGAAGGGTGGGCAGTTTCCTCCCTTGCAATTAGCTGTCTCTGAAAACCCGCATGAGGGTCAGCTTTGGGTTGGTTCCGAAGTGATGATACACAACAGCAGCATTGTTTTGACTTATCTTGTATTTGTGATTGTGCCAACATAAACATTTAAATTTTTCTCCTAATGTAGAGTATTTCCACAATAATTCCTGAATTTATCTACTTAGCACAATGAAATCTTTCTCTAATTCAGTGGATATGCTTCCTTTTCCCCCTTTTTAACTTTTAAGGTATACTTATTGAGAGTTCCTAAATGGGAAACACTAAAATAATCTAAATGTGTTATTGAGTCACTTGTGACTCATAGCAACCCTATGTACAACAGCCCAAAACCCTGCTTTATCCTGTGCCAACCTTATTGTCTTTGACACACCTATCTCCATTACCCCAGTCAGTGAATCAATCTCATTGAGGGTCTTCCTCTCTTGCCCTGTCCCTCCACCCTCTCTAGTGTGATATCCCTCTCCAAGGACTGGTCTTTCCTTGCAACATATCTAAAGTATATCAGACAAAGCTTCAGAATCCTTCCCTCCAAGGAGCAGCCTGTTTTCACCCTCTCTAGGATGAATCTATTTGTTCTCCTAGCAATCCGTGGTGTATTCGGTACTCTTCTCTAGCACCACAGCTCAAAGGTATCAATTCTTCTTCAATCATTCCTAGTCATTATCTAGCTTTCTGACACTCAGCAAATAATTGCAAAGAGTATGGGCTATGGACCTTAGTCTCCAGAATAACATTGTTGTTTTTCAGTACTTTGGAGAGGTTTCTGACAGCAGACTTTCCCAGTGCAATTTGTCTTTTAATTACCTGGCTGCTGATACCAAGACTGTTGATTGTTGAGCCAAGCAAACTGAAGCTATTAACAAATACAGTTTCTTCACTGTCTATCATGATACTGCACCAGGAAATGATGGCATACTAATGGACATATTTCAACAGACAGACACTGCCCTGGATGTGCTCACCAAACTGTGCCAAGAAATCTGGAGGACAACCACCTGACTAGAAGAGATCTATATTTGTTCCTTTTTCCAAAAAAGGTGACCCTACAGAGTGTGGAAATTCTCTAACAATATCATTACTATCACGTGCAAGCAAGATTATGCTGAAAATTATCCAAAAATAGCTGGAACAGCATATCAACAGAGAACTGCCAGAAGTTTACACTGGGTTTAGAAGAATCCGTGGCACTAGGGATAGTATAGCTAATGTTAGATGGATCTTGCCTGAAAGCAGAGAATACTAGAGGAATGTCTATCTGTGTTTGATTGACTATGTGAAGGCATTTTTATTGTGCGGATCAAAACAAACTGTGGCTAACTCTAAGAAGAATAGGAATCCCAGAACACCTGATTGTGCTTATGCGAAACATATACTTGGGCTAGGAGGCTGTCATTAGAACAGAGCAAGGAAACACTGCATGGTTCAAAATGGGAAAGGTGTATGACAGGGATGTGCCCTATCTCCATACCTTTTCAATCTATATATGAAATAGATTACCTAAGAGGTTAGGCTCTATGAGGAGAAATGTGGCATCAGGATTGGAGGAAGACTCATCAACAGTCTGCATTATGGAGATGATAGAACCCTGCTTGCTGAAACAGGAGGAACTGAAGCGCTTGCTGCTGAAGGTCAAGGACTGCAGCCTTTACTATGAATTAAAGTTCAACATCAAGAAAACAAAGATTCTCACCACTGGGCCAGTAGGCAGCATCATTATAGACAGTGAAGAATTTAAAGAAAAGAAAGAAAGAACTAAAATTTGATTTGGAAACAGTTTGATTTCAAGTGCTTTGCCTTACTGTCAAATGAATAAGATCAACAACAGTGTAGAGATGGCTAAGTTTGACTTCTACCTACTCCATAAAGGGAATGAACTGTCTCCATCAATATCCACCATAGTACCAAAATAATAGGTACCACCCTACCTCCACACTGCTGCATCTACTTGTATTGGGTTCGATATTTTTTTGCAAAAGTTAACTCAGAAACTTTATTCAGAGTTGTAGAGTTTTATTAAAGGAATACATGGTAGAATGGTGGAAGCAAAGGGTATCACACAGTCAAAGTCCAAACTTAGTGCCAATTTAGTAAACAGCAGCCCTAAGCCAAGTTAGCAACACATTCTTTCTCAGTTACTTCAGAGAGCTTCTCAGGCAACAACTGTAAGTCCATTTTTAGTCCAGGACCACAATTGCAAGAAGCCTCTGGTTTCCTCAGTTGTCCAGCAAGCATTGTCTATGCAGTCGTAAGTCAGCTTTTCCTTCTATTGGCTAATAAAATAAGCAAAACCTTTAACTTTGGCTCCATCTCTAGAGATTCAGTCAGGCTACACCTAGCTTCAGTCTCTCCACAGTCTGGCTAGCTTTTCTTATGTTGACTTTACAGTTGTTGATGTAGAAGACCACAATTGAACAGTGAACTGTATGTCTCTAGTTGAGGTAGCTGGAGACTACGCCCCTGAGGAATCTAAGGCAATGGCTAGAAAAACTGTTTTCAAAAGTCCTTACTCCACACATACCTAAGTGGAGCTGCCAGTAGACAAATGATAAGTAAGGTTGGTTTGGACAGGAGACAAGTCCAAAATGAAGATAATACTTTTCTTAAGCTGTGACGCTATCATATTTATAGATGGATTAAACAAAGCATATATTAAATAGAATAAGAGAGGGAGCTCTACACCATAGGAATTCCTGAAATAGTTTAAGGCAGATTATCTGAAAAGAGTCAAGAGGAGAATACCAGAGACAGAGAAGGAAAACTGTTATAACACAGTATAGTCGATACAGGGACAAAGGCTTCTTGAAAGAGTACACGATTGCTTGATGACTCCTAAAAGGTCAGATAAGGCACAAACTTGTAATTTTCCTCTGGATTTAGTGGCGTGAAGGCCATTGGAACCTTGGAAAAGCTGTTTCTGTAAAATAATGTCATAGAATCCACTTTGGAGTGACCTTTGTAGTGAATGGGAAATGCAAAAAACTGAAACTCAGCTGTTATCAAATCAGTTGACTTGTAGAGAACCTTCATTGGGTTTCTGTTGGCTAACAATTGTAACAGAAGGGACTGCCCATATTTCTCTCTTGGAGCTGCCTATAGGTTTGAACAGCTGCAGTTGCAACAGTGCAATTTGATAAAGACACTACCACCAGAACTTCTTAATGTGAGGTGTTGATTATTGTTTACCATCAAATCAGAAGTGACCTGTAGTTGTCCCTTCAGAGGTTTTTGAGGTAGTAAACTGCATGGGAGAAGATAGCCAATGTTTCTCTTGCAAAGCAGCTGATGTATTCAAACCACATACCTTTGGGTTGGCAGTACAATTCTTTACCACTATGCCATGAATGCTCTCTTGCAAGTTTAGTGAAATGGCTGCAAATTGGAGAGTGGAAAATAAATAACTAGAAAATGGCTTGGCATGGATGTAGGAAAGACTTGTAAGAGTGAACTATTTGAGCTTGAAAAATTGAGAGGCAATATTAAGTGAATGTAGTTATTTTTTAATTCTGTTACTTTTGTGTATTGATTATGCATTTTAATTTTTATTTTGTTTTTTCAAGTAGAAAGTAGACTTGACATAAGCAAAATGTTGTTGTTAGGTACCATTGAGTTGAGTACTACTCACAGTGACCCTATGAACAAAAGATCTGAACCCTGTTTTATCCTGTGCCATCCTCACACTTCCCGACACACAAGTGCCCATTGTGGCAGTTACTGTGTCAGTCCACCTGGTTAAGGGTCTTCCTCTCCTTCACTCACCCTTTAACCTTCCCAGTATCATGATCATGTCCCTCTCCAAGGAATAGCCCCTCCTAGCAACATGCCTGAAGTTTATAAGGCAGTTCATCATTCTTGCCTCTAAAGAGTGCTACTGTTGCACCATCTCCAAGACATATTTGTTCTTTTGGATGTCCATGTGATGTTCAGTTCTCTTGTCCAACACCACAGCTCAGAGGTGTCAGTTCTTTTTCTGTCATCCTTATTCATTGTCCAGCTGTCAGATGTATAGCTAGCAATCAGAAAGACTATGGCCGGAATTAGAGACTCTTTAGTCCTCAAACTGACATAATTAGTCCTCAGTAATTTGGAGAGGTCTCTAACTGTAGTTTTTCCCAGTGCAGTGCGTCTCCTTATTTCTTGACTGCTGGT